TATATATATACACACACACATAATATATATATATATATATATATATATATACTGTATATACACAAACACATACACACACATATATATATATATATATATATATATATATATATACTGTATATATAAACTAATAAAAATGACCAAACTGCACCATGTACAAATGAGTATTAAGTTGTCTATCAGCTGCTCTACTCTAAAAATATCATAGGCTTTATTTTAAAAACTCATATTTGCACAAAAGACCAATATTCGGATGCACGCTTCTTTATTTTCTGCCAAACGCTGTGAGGAGCTCAGTAAGTGTGTACCATCTGTAAGAGGCGTCTCAGCAGCTCTAAAGGGACGTTTATTTCTTGTCCGCTGTCTCCAGTGCAGAGAGGAGAGATGGAGAAACTGGAGCTGACCGTCGTGAAGTAATAATCTGGATTCACCACACCGCCATCCGCCAGATACGAACCTGACAGAACACCATCAGACAACCAGATTTACAAAAACTCTCTGGCTTTATGGTGCATCAGATCAAACACTGCAGGACTTTAACACTGTGCTAGAGGGTTGAGCACATCACTCATACTGTCAAAAATGTCTTCTAAATATTGGACAATAAACATAATTCAGCAGTGACTCATATAATCTCAAGCAAACAGAATTAAAACGAAGAACGGCTAAAACACAGGAGCCTATTGAGAAAAAAGAGCTCCGAATCTGCTGAAGAATGTTGAGACGGTGAAAGCGCTTGTTCAGAGATTAGAGTCGTGACACGGCGATTACCTTCAAAATACTGTGGTCCTGGAGCTGTGGGAGAGCAGGGCGACGGTCCTCCTCTGTCCGGACTCACCTGCGAACACAACCCAGGTGTGAGGACTGCCAATACATACTGCCATACTACTCATACTAATCCTGTATTACACACTAGGGCTGTCAAAATGGCTGAAGAAAACTACTGTACTTAAATATTATCAAAATTCGAATTATATTCGAATTTAAAGTCCCCATGAAATCAAAATTCAAGTTTTTTGGGTGTTAGTATCAATATATTAGTCTTAAGGTTATCAATAAGGCAGTGTGCTCCAAAACAGTGACACAATTCGCATTTAGAAGATATAAGCATTCAAAGCTTTTAGTTCGTCACTTCCGCCAAAACGGCTCAACGGGGCTGCTCGATATGTCCCGCCCTGTCTTCCTGTTTCAGTTGAAATTACGTCACCACATAGAATAACACTGCGCATTTCAAGGCACTACAGGGGACCTTTAAAACGCATAATTTCAGTTAGGGTGAAGAAAAGCGTTTGGCTTCTCTCTTGAGGCCACAAGAGAGCGCATCGAGCAAAATATTACTAATGCACGTTTATTCAAAGCATAAGATAACATGACTATCTGTGAAAAAGTGCATAATGTTTAAAATAATGTTAATTAAGTTGCTTAAACAACTACAGTGGGGCAAAAAAGTATTTAGTCAGCCACCAATTGTGCAAGTTCTCCCACTTAAAAAGATGAGAGAGGCCTGTAATTTTCATCATAGGTATACCTCAACTATGAGAGACAAAATGAGAAAAAAAAATTAATTCTGGATTTTTTTTTCTCATTTTGTCTCTCATAGTTGAGGTATACCTATGATGAAAATTACAGGCCTCTCTCATCTTTTTAAGTGGGAGAACTTGCACAATTGGTGGCTGACTAAATACTTTTTTGCCCCACTGTATAAACAAAACAGCATCATGTATGCATATTTAATACAAAGGACAGAAAGCCAATCACACAGAGTACATTTTTCATTTAAAAACACGAGTTGCAGTGGGATGGGGAAAAAACCCACTATAAAGTCTCGAGATATGTTTTTTTCTAAGTTAAACTTGCATAAAATTTCCATGGCTTTCTAAACATGCGGCTCTTTTGTGCGAGACGCGAGTGCAACGGTGATAGATGTCCCTCTAGAAAATGCGCGAAATATGCATTCTGTGTGAACGGCTTGGTTTCAGCTTTAATGCAAACAAGATCTTCTCCGTATTGATGTTCCCTTTTCCTGCAATATTTGTGATTAACAACACAGCAGCGCCGCATCTAGTGGCTTCAACTGGACAGGCTAAGAAAAACAGAAAAATGCAACGACACTTAAATCGTCATCGCATCTCGTGCGCCACTGATAAGGCTGCCTGACGCACACCTAAAATTCGAATGCAACGTTTTTGCATTAGAATGTGGATTTTTATTTTAAATTCGACGAATATTCGAAAAAAATGTTGACAGCCCTATTGCACACTGTATACTGTGCCCAGATTGTGAATAATTCCGTACACAAAGAATACCTGGATGACCTACTACTTTGTTCACCAAAATGTGCAGTTCACAACCAATGCTATATCCCACAGTGCAATGTGCTCAACTTGACCTTTTAACAGTATAGAGCATATTTAACAACATTTATAATATTTAATAATAATAATAATTTTTAGATCAGACCATCATGGGGATAAGACATTTTTCACTTTTTTTTTAGTGAAATATTTTTGAAAACTATTTAACATTAATTCATTTTTATGTACTTTTTAAAACATTCAATAATAATTTTTGCATATATTTTTTCAAATTTTTTTTTATTTACTTCTTTCTTAACTTTTGCATGTTGTTCAATAATAATTTATTTTTACTTTTTCTAAAATTATTTTTTCATATTTTATTCAATTATAATTTATTTTATTTACATTTCTAAAACTACTTTTGCATGTTTTCAAAAAGCAATTTTCAATTACTTAATCAAAAATTACATTTGTATATTTTTCAATAACAATTTATTTTATATATACTGTATATATAATTTATTTAAAATATTTTGCATTTTTGTCAATGATCATTTCTGTTTACGTATTCTCTTCTAAAAATATTTTGCATACTTTTCAATAATAATCTACTTTAATTACTTCATTATTTTTGCATATTTTGTTTGATGATAATTACTACTTTTAAAAAAACATACCAAACATTATTTTTGCACATTCTTTCAATACTCATTTACTTTTTTTTTATTTATTTACTTCCTTTTTTTTCATATGTGAGCCTGGAGCACAGAAGCAGTGTTAAGTCGCTGGGGGATATTTGTAGCAATAGCCAACAATACATTGTATGGGTCAAAATTATACATTTTTTATTTATGCCAAAATTAATTTGGATATTAAGTAAAGATCATGTTCCATGAAGATATTTTGTAAATTTCCTACTGTAAATATATCAAAACTTACTTTTTGATTAGTAATATGCATTGCTAAGAACTTCATTTGGACAACTTTAAAGATGATTTTCTCAATATTTAGATTTTTGTGCACCCTCAGATTCCAGATTTTCAAATAGTTGTATCTCAGTCAAATATTGTCAGATCCTAACAAACCATACACCAATGGAAAGCTTATTCAGCTTTATTCAGCTTTCAGATGATGTGTAAATCTCAATTTCGAGAAATTGACACTTATGACTGATTTTGTGGTCCAGGGCACATATGTATTTCACATTTTTTGGTTATCTTAGATGATAACCAGATGCAATTCACTGAATTAAACAATGCAAAGTGGTCATGTGACAACACATAAAATACATTTTGTTTAAACATTTAGCATTGCATAAAGCATACTTTTGCACACTAAAAACAGTATGCAATGATTCCGCACACATCCAGAGACAGAGAGACAGTGCTGACCTGTGCGTCAGGGTTGGCGATGCCGCTCTTGCGTCTCAGCGTGTCTCCCTGGCAGACCGTGAGCAGTGAACTGGGCAGAATGGAGCGGAAGTCATTGAAGGATCTCCTCCGAATGCCCTCGGTCTCCACAGACACGCGCTGAACCAGCGGCGGTGCTCCTCGAGGGAACAGCTGAGAGAGGAGGGGTTCACCGCCGTTACCATAGCGACCGAATGCTCGGGCCACGCCCAGAAGACACGGGACAGCATACCTGCACAGGTACACTGACGAGACAGGAAGTGAGTCACTCAGGAGAGCGCGAACCCAAACGTGTGTTAGTGACGAGCAGCAGAGCTCGGATCACCTTTATCATGGTTCTCAGGTGTCTGGCAGATCTCCAGCAGAGACTGCATCACTTCCATCACAGCTTCCAGAATCTGGACAGAAAGAGGTTAAATGAGTGCGGAGGTAAGGCAAGACGGAAAGGTAGAGACACACTGAAGATCAGACCTGTGAGCGAGACTCGGGGTCTCTCTGAGCGACGTCAGACAGGAGGGTCACCAGACAGAAGCTGAAGTTTTCCGCCATTGGGAGAGTCTCTGTGAGGATACAAAATACTAGCTTGATTTTACAGTGTATATATATATATATATATATATATATATATATATATATATATATATGTGTGTGTATATATAACAGAGCTTAATATACACAAGTACAGAGTTGGTAAGATTTTTTTTTATGCTTTTGAAAAAAAAATAAAATAGTCTCATCAAAGCTGCATTTATTTGATAAAAAATACAGTAAAAACAGTAATATTGTGAAATATCGTTACAATTTAAAATGCATGTTTTCTATGTGAATGTGTTAAAATATAATGTATTCCTGTGATCAAAGCTGTATTTTCAGCATCATTCCTCCAGTCTACTTTTATTTGATTGATTGACATTATAAATGTCTTTACTGTCACTGTAATGATCAATTTAATGCATCCTTGATGAATAAAAGTATTGATGTCTTTAAAAAAATGACCCCAAACTTTTAAACAATACGTTCGCATATCCAGTAATGTACTTGACAAAAATGAGCTGGTACCTTTACACTTCCTCCCAGCATTCTCCTCCACCCATTGCACTCTGGGTAATCCCTTCAGCAGACTCAACAGGTAACTTACCACAGTGTCTTTGTGCTGAGAAAGACAAATATCATACATGAACCACGTGCTGCAAAAGGTACAAATATTTCGATGACAGTCTACATCAGAATATACATGCAAATCAAATCCAAAATCTATTTATATTAAAATCAGATGCTTCAAAAAAAGACAACAAATGTCACATTGCATTCATCATGTTTGTACAGGGGAATTATGTAACATCAAAAATGTGTTCACCCTCAGATCATCCGAGATTAGGATGAGTTTGTTTCTTCATCAGATTTGGAGAAATGCAGCATTGCATCAGTGTCTCAGCAGTGGATGCTCTGCAGTGAATGGGTGCCGTCAGAATGAGAGTCCAAACAGCTGATAAAAACACCACAATAATCCACAGCACTCCAGTACATCAGTTAACATCTGGAGAAGACAAAAGCTGAAACAAATGCATCAGTAGTTCGTTTTTAACTAAAATACGAGTCCATAATAATCCATAATAATGCTTCCTCCAGTGAAAAAGTGCATCTCCTGTTGTCTCTCACATCAAAATCCAGCCACATATTTGTTTAGAGCCGTTTTGGCTTGTAAACGTTGCTTGATCTGTGCAGATTTCTCTCCTGATTCAGACCAGAACACTTTTTCACTGAATTATGGAGTCGTATTTGAGTTAAAAACGTCTTAAATTATGGATTTGTTTCAGCTTTTGTCTTCTCCAGATGTTAACTGATGGACTGGAGTGCTGTGGATTACTTGTGGATTATTGTGATGTTTTTATCAGTTTGGACTCTCATTCTGACGGCACCCATTCACTGCAGAGCATCCATTGCTGAGCAAGTGATGCAATACTATACATTTCTCCAAATCTGATGAAGAAACAAACTCATCTGCATCTTGGATGGCCTGAGGGTGAGCACATTTTCAGCAAATTTTCATTTTTGTCTGAAGTATTCCTTTAACCAGCCTGTACCTTTAATCCGGCTGTGATCACATTATCTGCTTTAGCAGTGATTTTCTCTCATAAACCCACTCAGCAGCTGGAAAGCTTCAACACACACACGCTTAGCTATTTGAGGACGTTCCCAAAGGGAGGTTTTGTCATATTTAGCTAACATCCAGGGACAATTTTGTCCTCAAAATAGCTAACATGCACACAAAAACACAGCTGCACTTGTGAAAGACACTCATGCTAATAATCAACCTCAGTCACCTGTAAATCAGACTCGACCAGAAATACAGCCAATGCAATCACAGCATCCCTGCGGCGGACATCCAGAGTGAAGACGCCGCGGCTGTCGCATGGACACATGCATAATAACTTCTGCACCTGATGAAAAGAGACACGCTTTCTTTAAGAGACACTCGAAACTGCTTTCCTATTCTTATCAGCGGATACGAGCAGTGACAATTCTGCTGATAAAAAGCTCAAGTTAAACAACTTCCCCTCAAGAGATACAAGCAAACCGATCTATCTGGCATCTGCAGAACTAGAGCAACCCGTTGAGAGATGCACGCATGATTTGAGAGCATGCATGTGTGGGGAATTCATCTGCTCATAATCATACAACAACATGACGATTTCTGCCGCATGCAGCGTTTTTAAACAGTGGCAGATGTTTGCCTGCAGTGCACAAATGCATGAATCTGTCACGCAGGCGTCTGCAATGTGGCAATGCATTTCACAAGAGTGCAAAAGCTGCTGTTGCATGAGTACTAGAACAGTGTCAGAGCAAATGTGTAGAATAGAAAGAAAGGCTTTCATCGGCGCTGCAGGCACAAGCTGGCACCATTTAGCGCCTGTAAAAGCCTCTGGACATGTGACAGCTCTGAACTGCTGCATTTGTTTTTCCCTTTAATAAACCAAACATAATATCCAAAATTGCAGTCTTTTAGAACAGGCGTAATGCATTTGCTCAGTTCAACCCCCATGTTTCATGTTTCCAGATCAAGGTCAAATATATGGCCTTTGAAAAAAAAAATGTATTATTTATGTTTTCCAGTACAAATATCTAAACATTCTTAAATCAAGATACATTTACTTGAGAAGCTAAATTATTTCAGATATGAAGTCTTGTGTTAAAAATGTTAAAACGTGGGTTAGTATAGTTCATTAAACCATATAAACATTTTCGTCACTTGAAACAGATGTTAACTAAAATAATATAACATTTAAAAAAAATTATAGTTGCAAAAAGCAACATTTCTCATTTTCATTTAGTTTAACTTGACATACTAAACTAACTAAAACAAAAAATTAACAAATACATTTATATAAAAAAATATATAAATTCATAATATTAATAAATGTAATTTAATAAAAAAATATGGACATGAAACAAAACAATGAATACAAAAAAAAATGCACAACAAACTTACTAAAACTTGAAAATTAAAATTGAAATAACAACAACAATAATAGTATCTCAAATATACTAAAATACAATTGTCAGTGGGGTCAGAAAAATAAACTTAATTCAAAGTGAAAAACAAGATTATTTTTCTGAGCCCATTGTCAGATTTTTTTAATCCAAAACTCACGTAACTTTGATGCATTTTTCAGAAAACTACATTTAAACCAATCTGCTTCTCAAGTAAATGCATCTTGATTTAACCATTGTTTAGATATTGAGCAATAAATTCACTTTTTGCATTACGCATCAAGTAAACGAACATGGCAATAATGCAGTGCCATGTTATATTTCACATGACCAAAATATCCAGTCAACCAAAGCAAGCTGAACCCAACACAAGCACAGTGTTCGGATGCAGTTGTTGCACTGTGACACCTGTAACAATAAACCAAGATGCGTGTCGCACCTTCTCTGCGGGCGCTGGCCGGTGCGCTGCCAGAGAACGCGCGAGCGACAGAACCGTGTTGAAGTAGAAGTCGCGCGTCGCCATGTTTCACGACGCGACACGATCAGCTGAAGACGCGCAACGATTTCTGCAGCAGCCTCAGCCTGTGTGAAGAAAACACGAGCGCAATACGGAAAGAGTGAAGGCACAAATAACATCCGCTGGAGAGCGCGAGGCGAGGCGTGTCTGCATTAAAGCATCATCAGGACGTAGTTTCTCTTATTGGCTCATACAGCTGATGATTATTCACACGCAGCTAATGCAGAGAGAGATTTATAAACGTGCTGATGATTATTCACACACAGCTAATGCAGAGAGAGGGGTTTATAAACGTGCTGATGATTATTCACACGCAGCTAATCCAGAGAGGGGTTTATAAACGTGCTGATGATTATTCACACGCAGCTAATCCAGAGAGGGGTTTATAAACGTGCTGATGATTATTCACACGCAGCTAATCCAGAGAGGGGTTTATAAACGTGCTGATGATTATTCACACGCAGCTAATCCAGAGAGGGGTTTATAAACGTGCTGATGATTATTCACACGCAGCTAATCCAGAGAGGGGTTTATAAACGTGCTGATGATTATTCACACGCAGCTAATCCAGAGAGGGGTTTATAAACGTGCTGATGATTATTCACACGCAGCTAATCCAGAGAGGGGTTTATAAACGTGCTGATGATTATTCACACGCAGCTAATCCAGAGAGGGGTTTATAAACGTGCTGATGATTATTCACACGCAGCTAATCCAGAGAGGGGTTTATAAACGTGCTGATGATTATTCACACGCAGCTAATCCAGAGAGGGGTTTATAAACGTGCTGATGATTATTCACACGCAGCTAATCCAGAGAGGGGTTTATAAACGTGCTGATGATTATTCACACGCAGCTAATCCAGAGAGGGGTTTATAAACGTGCTGATGATTATTCACACGCAGCTAATCCAGAGAGGGGTTTATAAACGTGCTGATGATTATTCACACGCAGCTAATCCAGAGAGGGGTTTATAAACGTGCTGATGATTATTCACACGCAGCTAATCCAGAGAGGGGTTTATAAACGTGCTGATGATTATTCACACGCAGCTAATCCAGAGAGGGGTTTATAAACGTGCTGATGATTATTCACACGCAGCTAATCCAGAGAGGGGTTTATAAACGTGCTGATGATTATTCACACGCAGCTAATCCAGAGAGGGGTTTATAAACGTGCTGATGATTATTCACACGCAGCTAATCCAGAGAGGGGTTTATAAACGTGCTGATGATTATTCACACGCAGCTAATCCAGAGAGGGGTTTATAAACGTGCTGATGATTATTCACACGCAGCTAATCCAGAGAGGGGTTTATAAACGTGCTGATGATTATTCACACGCAGCTAATCCAGAGAGGGGTTTATAAACGTGCTGATGATTATTCACACGCAGCTAATCCAGAGAGGGGTTTATAAACGTGCTGATGATTATTCACACGCAGCTAATCCAGAGAGGGGTTTATAAACGTGCTGATGATTATTCACACGCAGCTAATCCAGAGAGGGGTTTATAAACGTGCTGATGATTATTCACACGCAGCTAATCCAGAGAGGGGTTTATAAACGTGCTGATGATTATTCACACGCAGCTAATCCAGAGAGGGGTTTATAAACGTGCTGATGATTATTCACACGCAGCTAATCCAGAGAGGGGTTTATAAACGTGCTGATGATTATTCACACGCAGCTAATCCAGAGAGGGGTTTATAAACGTGCTGATGATTATTCACACGCAGCTAATCCAGAGAGGGGTTTATAAACGTGCTGATGATTATTCACACGCAGCTAATCCAGAGAGGGGTTTATAAACGTGCTGATGATTATTCACACGCAGCTAATCCAGAGAGGGGTTTATAAACGTGCTGATGATTATTCACACGCAGCTAATCCAGAGAGGGGTTTATAAACGTGCTGATGATTATTCACACGCAGCTAATCCAGAGAGGGGTTTATAAACGTGCTGATGATTATTCACACGCAGCTAATCCAGAGAGGGGTTTATAAACGTGCTGATGATTATTCACACGCAGCTAATCCAGAGAGGGGTTTATAAACGTGCTGATGATTATTCACACGCAGCTAATCCAGAGAGGGGTTTATAAACGTGCTGATGATTATTCACACGCAGCTAATCCAGAGAGGGGTTTATAAACGTGCTGATGATTATTCACACGCAGCTAATCCAGAGAGGGGTTTATAAACGTGCTGATGATTATTCACACGCAGCTAATCCAGAGAGGGGTTTATAAACGTGCTGATGATTATTCACACGCAGCTAATCCAGAGAGGGGTTTATAAACGTGCTGATGATTATTCACACGCAGCTAATCCAGAGAGGGGTTTATAAACGTGCTGATGATTATTCACACGCAGCTAATCCAGAGAGGGGTTTATAAACGTGCTGATGATTATTCACACGCAGCTAATCCAGAGAGGGGTTTATAAACGTGCTGATGATTATTCACACGCAGCTAATCCAGAGAGGGGTTTATAAACGTGCTGATGATTATTCACACGCAGCTAATCCAGAGAGGGGTTTATAAACGTGCTGATGATTATTCACACGCAGCTAATCCAGAGAGGGGTTTATAAACGTGCTGATGATTATTCACACGCAGCTAATCCAGAGAGGGGTTTATAAACGTGCTGATGATTATTCACACGCAGCTAATCCAGAGAGGGGTTTATAAACGTGCTGATGATTATTCACACGCAGCTAATCCAGAGAGGGGTTTATAAACGTGCTGATGATTATTCACACGCAGCTAATCCAGAGAGGGGTTTATAAACGTGCTGATGATTATTCACACGCAGCTAATGCAGAGAGGGGTTTATAAACGTGCTGTCATTCATTAACAAAAACAAAAAGCAGTGAAGAAATGGCTTTGACGGCTTTATCTACTCTACACTGAGAACAGGAGAGATAAACTTCAAAATCTACAATAGAGTATTGGCTAAAATATATATTTTAATATTTTATTGCGATTTTTTGTATTTTTGTAATATTCCTTTGTAATATATATGCATATAAATAAATATGTATAATGATTAATAATTTATGAAACGATTATTAATAACATAATATTAATAATTCATATAACAGTATTAATCATATTTACTAGTAGTCATATTTTTATGTATATCAATAATTATTTATAAAAATTAAATGTATTATTGTTGTTGTTGTTATTACTTAACAATATTAATAATGAATAATTAGTATTAGTAGACGTAATATATAAGTATTTTTTATATTTTTGTAGTATTTTTGTAATATTAATACTTATAAATAAATACGTATGATGGTTATTAATGAAAGAATGGTTAATAACTATAACAGCATAATAATAATGCTAATACTACCACTATTACTACTACTACTACTAATTATAATAATAAATGTATTATTATTATTATCATGTAACAATATTAACAATTAATAATAATCGTTAGTAATATAGTAGTAGTAGTAGAAATAATATATTACGTATATTAATAATAATAATATCATTATTATTAACAATATAAATAATAATAAT